GGAGGAAATGGAAGAGTGGGCAGATATTGGGGACTTATATAAGGAGGTTTCAGACGCAATTGAGGATCGATTTACTCGTGCTAGCGAAAAGGAGTTCGGACACGACGTTGATGACTTAGTACAGCAAGCATGGGAGAATTTGGATTCGTGGTTGGAATTGAAATCAAAAAATTACGAAAAGAATATTGCTGGATGTGTCTCGACTATGAATGCGATCATTCAAAAATACAACATAATTCAGATCGATACCTTGGGTGCACATTGGGCTGGTTTATACAGAGGGGACCAATTAATTGAGGAAACAAAGCGCCAAAAGCAAATTGACGGAACTCCGGTTCAAATCTGCAGAAATGTCAATGAAAATGTTACTGAAACTGGTCTTTATTCTAGCTTGCAGTATAAATGGAGTGCTCAAGAAGGCGACATTTTGGTTGTTGTCTCGGATGAAGTGCGCAATTTATTGACTCCAATCCAGATCGAAAACTCGTTTTCTTCGAAGAATAATATACATCCCTACACAGATCTGCTTGATGTTGCGGCGATAAGAATTATTCTTGAAGCAAAACGAGTCGCTAATGAAAATCCCCTGAAAGATTTGGTCGCTATGGTGATGGGTATCGAGAATACTTAGGTAGTTGACTTACATTAGTATTAGCTTATGGCAATAAATCAATTTAACAAACGAAATATACTAAGACTATCTAAGGATAAAGGCCAGGTTCTGAACGACCTCCAACAAAGATTTAAACTGAAAGTACTTACTGCAGCAATCCCAAATACTCATGATTCACTAAGCACAAGTTATTCCTTATGTACTTTATCGCTCTTTGTTTCATAAATGTTGGCTAATTTTGGTAAATTTATCTGCTTTCTACAAATCCCTTCAATGAGCTGTCAAGTAACTGCTTATTGCTTACTCAGAGAAGTCATCCAAATATACATTTATAGTCGTTCTCTTATCCCCTCTGCAACAAAACTTCTGAACTTTCGAATCGCTTTTAAGACTCCTCGCTCTCCGTAAAGCCAAGATTTTATGGATTTCTGCACTTTTAATGTCACGAGTTTTGGTGAATCTCCATCTTAGAATTCTACAAAAGCTTGGTAGGTGGTTAATGTCTTGCCAGCAATGACAGTTTCTGTCAACTTATGCAATTGTATCAGAAACACTAAGAACAATTGACTATTTATGGCAGAGGCTACTGAAGTTTCTATCGTCGGTGTATCTACACTAATAAGAACCGAAGAATGATGATGTGAGGATCCTCGTCCCCATTAGTGATTACAATGTAAGCGCAAATTTCACTACTTCACTACACGCAGCTGTATTATGCGCTTCCTCAAATATTATGTCGAGCCCCTTAAAACATTTTCTTCACCGCTTCAAGTTTCTGATCAGAGAGATAAAATATTTAATGGATTTGATATTCTAGGAAGTAGCTGAATAGTAAGCGTGAGATTACGTGTATTCCTGTAAGGACCCTGGCATCAGCTTGAGACTGAGGGTCTGTGTAAGCGCATATATATGCACTTCCATTACGGAGAGTTACGACAGATATCATTTTGAACAACTTATAGGATATTCTCTCGTTCTTGAGTATTTTAGGGATTCCTTTTTCGTGAAGTCAAAAAGATAAAGCAATTATGAATTTGGCCTCTCTGGGATCTAAATCTCATAGAGAACAGAAAAAACCAGATGTTCTCTAACAAACTGTAATCAATCTTTGTTCTTTATTGGCTTAATGCCGTTTCGCGAAAATATGTTTGGAATACAGAGAGAAACAGCAATATTTGATTTTGGTACTTTCCTCGACATCTCGCCAAGTAAAATTATCAAACAACAACAATGTTTTGGTCTTGCATGCTAGCACTGACGGCAGTAGAATATTTTTAATTCCACGATGTGCAAACTATTAGCGCGCATCGAAAGATCATCCTCATATGCATTTGATACTGTTAATGAGTGGTGAAATGAAACCTGAGATAAGCAGCGAGTATCTCAAGAAAAGTGTAAAGAAACAAGATCATTGCAAAGTGATCAACAATCAAGGATGAGGCTTATCTCAAGAAGTACTCCTGGTTTTCCCAATGATTTGTTATTCATAGCGCAGACTTAAAAATAATTGCCGATGAAAAGTGTTATAACCTCGGCTGGGGAAAGTTTTTTTCTTTTCTTCTTTTTCTTGGTCTGCCGGTACTTCTTTGTAGCTGTAACATGGATGTATATATCCCTGGGCTCCTAATTTATCTAAGAATAACTCCCACTGATTGTAAGGGTATATATGTACTCATTGCCTCAGAGTAAAAAAACAAAGCTAAACACGACAGAAAATGATCATGATAGTCAACACTAAGAAATTATTTGCGTTGGGAGATATTGCATCTGCGCTTGTTGCTCAAGTCATCCATGTCCCAAACGCAGAACCATCTTCATATGCTGGGGCTAATCTCGTTGGTCAAGATCTGAGAAGTGCAGCAGATGAATATTCTCTGCAAAATATGACCAATACTGGGTTCTCAAGTATTGAAAAAAGAGATGTAGATATTGAAGTAATGTAGAAAGTCATGGATTTTCTTGAAGAGACTGTGGTTGAGTTTGGTTTGACTGATTTGTTGGATGAAGATATTTTGCCCTCCATATTGAAAGAGGTAAAGGAGAGAACATTGCACTTTGCTATAGGTGTTATGCACCATGTAGCTTCTGCTCACTACATCCATGAAGCTAATGTGGCTTATTGCTCAAAGTACTCAGTGGACAATAGTCCTGCGACAAAGATCTTGCAAGGTGGAAATATTGGTGGAGCGCATAATTATCCCCAAAACTACACCCTATTTGGTCTAGTTGGCAAAAAAAATGATAGTCCCATCAGTAGCACAGACCTGTGGGAGATATGCCAAGAAATGTACAACTCGGCTTTCGAGGAATAGGGACTTCTTGAACCATCTGAATTGACCCCAAAAATGCTCGCACAAAAAATGCATGTCAAGATCCCCAAAGAATTAGATAGTGAAAGTTTCCACATGATGATTGCAATAATCACCCCTGAGAATGAAGTCCAGGTATTTAACTTCGGTACCTCTTGGGCTGGTCTATTCCGAGACGGGAATTTGATTGCTCACACAGTCCTTCAAAAGCGCCAAGACAGCTCGTACCAATATGGACACTCTGCAAAACCTGCGGAAACTATCTGGGATGTTTCAGAGCACAAATGGCAAGCTCAGCCAGGTGACCTAGTCTTATCAGATGAGGTGCGTAACATGTTGAGCACGATTGAGGGAGTCATTTTCTTTGATAAAGACGCTAGGCCCTATGGCACAGCCATTTTTGAAGGAGAAGGATTTTGATTTGTACGCTATGGGTATTGTGAAGGCAGCGAGAATAGCTGCCGGGGAGCAGCCTAACAACGATATGTTTGCTTCGGTCATCCGAATTGGCGAGGAACGTGACTCATAGGAAATGTCACCCTGAAATATTTTCTATGAGTGCACGTATTGAAAATTTGCAGATCGGGAATGATAAATAGTGTTTCATATGTTCTGTCAAGTACGAACTTGAACCTATAAAATATTGTATGATTGCCAGACAAGGATCTAATACCCTCCTTCACAGTATCGCAAATTCAAAACACCGT